AAAATACACAATGAAATAAAATTCACAATGAAGCTACGCTAAGCTGATAATTATCTATTTTAGAGGCAGATGACGCCTGATTTTTAATGGTAAAATAAAAGTGCCATACTTGTGTATATTACAAGCTCTCCTGTACAAGCCGTGCAGTAGATTTATGACGCAAACATCTTTATGTTGGAGGGCTCAAAAGAGAAGGCAAGAAAGAAGTATAGAACAGTTAATTTCTTTAGATTTTCAGTATTTGTGACAGAGTGTGAATATTTCCATATACAGGTATATTTCGACATAAAACCTTGATTATTTTGCACTTAAAACTTCACCAACCCCAGCATTAATATGTAGTGGGCTTCCTCCCTCTCCTCTCTTTGCCACCACAAACAAAGCATCATAACAACTTCCAAAAAACAGAACCTAAAATAGATGAGTAATGCTCTTCTTCTCTTTGTTATATAATCGCTAAAATCCAGAGGACACGTTAATAAGGCAAACTGCCAGTGAAACTCACGGATATGGTAGCAAGCTAATAAACAACATTAACTCACAGTAGCACATTGCAATGTAAAGGAGCAGCGGTGTGATTTACTCTGTGTGCAGACCAGTCACTTTGTTCATTTTCTGCCTCAGAGACCATACTGATTGTCATGGGCACCAGATTTTCCATTACACTGGCTCCACATTTATCATGACTGTTGTTTATCTGCCTCTCACATCCAGCAAAAAATGAGACCATTCATCTAAGGGAAGCCTGTCTGGCTAACTTACTTCTCCCTGATGGCTGCTTAGTGAGGTACTCTGGGGCTGAGAATAAAATATTAATATAGATTACCTTTATGCCACAGCGTGTGATAAATCAGACCGAGGCCAGTCTTGGGGGGGTGTTTGAAGTCCAGCCATCGGGCTTGACTGTTTGAATTTAGCACAAAGCAAAGCTGCAAGCTGTATATGAGTGTAGATTTGCTGAGTGAACTGGCACATTTAGTCCTCAGTCAGCATTCATAAGCATTCGCCCTCATGAGAGTTTAGTATCCAAGCTACAGGCAATGCTTATTTCATTACATATTTTTGTGTTTATTTATTTTGCTGACGAGAGTCGGGGGAGGGGGGGGGAATCAAGTCAAAGAACAAATGGTCCCTGAGAGACGTAAACCTGGAAGATGAACAAACAAATGTTCGTTTTCGAGCAGCATATAGCACATTTCCTGCAAGACTCCACCTTCACAGCCGTACACAGGTTCACCTTACTATAAACCCCCACTCTGTTAATATTGTTTCCAAGCCTGGGAGCAACCAGGAATGTTCTTAGTTTATTAGCTGATAAAACAGGAGACAAAACGAGGTTAATCGTTGTTAATACAAATACTAACTGTAAGATACATTTAAAGCCATTAATCACATATACAGGTTTAATATCTAAAACGTGTTTTAGATTGAAGGCAGCTGAAATATATGGTGCCATTTACACCATTTGCACACGCAGATGTTGCATTGACACCGATTAATTTCAGGCTTCAACGCTCTTGCTTCTCATTCACATGCATTGGATGATGTCACATGTTGCTGAACTGAATTATGGCTCCGTCGCTTCACTTTGCTCATGAGAATGATGCGGTGGCGTGCACGGGCATCAAAGAATGGGAGCTAATACTGACTTTTAATTGTAGCTTGGCTAGCTTGCTTTTGATAAAGGCTGGTTGCTAGCATAATGCTGCAGTCACAGACTTGTCTATGAACACTATCCCGCTCTTGGCCATACTGTAGTGATACTGAGCAAAGAGAAACACAAACCAGAAATGGAGAAGGTTTGTTTTACTTTCAAGGTGAAATTTTCCATTTTGTTACATTTTTTCAAGTTTTACTAGCAGTTAGCGCGTTTGTGTACTGCTAGCGACCAAAGCAATCGATTTCATCCAGTAACCTCCAAGAATGAATGACGCGGAACAGATGCGTTTCCCTAGCAACCAGTACTTAAGTCACATCCATTTTGGCTCTTGATCAACGATGCCACATGAAATATGAGCGTAATGATACCTAGCCACTTTATGAGAGATCATATGTTAATTAGCTGAACTTTTCTGGCATTTACTTTTTCACCAGCAGCCCAGATACGTTTTTTTTCTTTTTCTTTTCAGAAATACTTAACATCTTCTGATAGTGAGCTAGCTTGGTAGCTAACTCTGATGAACCCTGTGAATCCTTTTCACGGTAACATGACAAAACATCTGGCCCGTGTTTTAACTCTTCTTTCCATTCGGACCCAGATTGCCGTTTCTTCACTGAAACCTCCTCTGCAAAGATGCCAGCTGACGTGGTACCGAGCACGTGCAGCCCAGCAACAAGTCAAACCACATGTGCATGAATGTTTCATTAAAAACTTCAAGTCTCAAAAATTATTAAATCTGATCCGATCGGTCAGATGTGGTGAAGGTGAAAACAAGGTTGCAAGGCGGCTGCTTCTCGTGTGTGAAGCCTCGGCGCCCCGCGAGGGTCCATTTTGCCAACAGTCATGGATGTGAGCGTCTCCATGACAACTGTGGAGGGGTTGTGTAACGTGAGGTGCACCGCGACGAACAAAAAGACACCTCTGAGGGCCGACGTCACTGATTTAGTTGTTATCACCTGTATTTTTTTTCCAGCTGCTGCAGAGACATTTAGCATGCATGATTGTTTTTTTTCTTCCCAAGCATCAAGACTTCCCAGAAATTCCTCTTTCTTTTAGTGGAGAAGGAAAAAAAATCTCTCCATGAGAACTCTTTGGATGAAGCCAAAGAACAACAATAGATCTACGAGCTGTGAAAGGCTTTGGAAAAGCAAACAAAGGCGAGGAAGAAATAATCTTCAAAACAGTATGTCTTCAGTGAATATCTGAATGGTTCCCCCCTCCCTCTCAAACCACCACCACCACTTTCTCCTATGGCGGTGTTTTCCATTTCAACACCCATTAATCAGTGCTATTGCCTTTGTCACCATGGAAACTGGACTTGCTGCATCTCTCTCAGGTCTGGTGGTGTTTTTCACAATAGCCAGACTGACGGCTCCCGTGGCTGCAGCAGGTCAGCGAGCCCACCGAGTGCAAAATCAGCCCCTCGCGAGACACAAAACCCACCTCTGTCTGCTTCTCCATCAACGCACGACCGCCTAACCGCTGCCCCCCCACCACCACCCCCTCACCACAGCCGTCATTATGGACTGAGAGATTACATAACTGCAACTACTGTCTGGGTATCTTCACACAAAGCTACTGTGTACATTATAGAAAAAAAATCCCTGCACCGTGGTGAAGACCTCAGTTTCTACTCCGAGTGTGACCTGCAGAGGGTGATAACAACTGGAGGAGACAAACACACACTTAATCTGACATATCATAAAAATACCAACAGGATTCTGCAGGCTTCTCACTTATCAGTCATTAAAAACACATCAGACAGTCTCCAAAGCGTGAATTAATCTTTGACAGACATAAAATCAATATTATAGACTGAGGCCGCTCAAGTCAATGAGACCGATATGAGTGCGAGACTCCCGCACAGCTTCTTCATTCAGATGATTGAGGTATCCAGTGTTGCAGGGAACCCCCTCACATTACTCCACAAGGACATGTAATGCATTATGATTTGAGTTTAACGTCAACAGATGGTAAAAGAGAAAAAACAAGTGATTTGAACTTAATTGAGGTGCATGAGGAGCTTCAGCAGAGGATGCACAGATAGAGGCACAAAGAAGGAGAAGGATTAAGTTTCTCAGTACTCACGGTGATCTTGGTCTCCTTGACCTCCTTGATCTGCCTCTTGGCCGGCGAAACAGAGCCGGGGGGCTGCGGGGCGAGACAGGAGGGATCGTCAAAACTCTCCTCAGTGTCAAAGCTGGCTTCCATCATCATCCCTCTCACCTCCTCCTGCTTCTCTATTCTGGGAAAGCCTCACTCTCTCCTCTCTCCTTTCTCTTTCCCTCCACGCACCAAGGCTGCCAACGGTCTCACAAGCCGCGGAGTGAGCGGAGAGGAGTTGCGTTGCAGGAGGGGGAGGGAGGGAGGTGTGTGTAACTGCGGTGGGAAGGTAGCATGAGGGAGGAGGAGGAGGGAGGCAGTAAGGGGAATTGGTGGCGGCTGTGGGAGCGTGACAAAGTCTCGCCTCCGGTTAATGTGCTGTCACATGAGTTTTAAGGTTGTAGCCCAATCGCCGCCTCACCTCCACACCTGCCTTCCCCTTTCACCTCACCCAACGATGTCCATGCAGGAGGAGAGATAAAAGATGAAGAAACATCACTGAGCTAGTTCTGGGATGGAGGCACTGGAGGATGGGAAGAGGGGGAATTTGCGAGGAAAGAAGAAAAAAGAGAGGACAAGGAGGCAGATGAGGAGGAGGGGGGGTGTTTACATGATCCTTGCCCCACCTTCCTCCCCAGAGACCCAGATAGTGAAGGAGGAGGGAGCAGCGAGGCGTAGGTGTTGGTGATGGGGGTTGGCTTGATGGAAATGGCTGAATGATGATATTTAAGAGACAAATTACAACTGGGAGGAGGGGGGAGGGGGGAGAGAGCAGGAGGGAAAACAAGCAGCCAATGAGAAGCAGCGTCTCTGATTGTGTGTGTGTGTTTGGGAATGAGACGCACGCACATCTCAGGGTTAAGTGTTCAGATTCAGCTGTGTGTAAACAGTGTGTTTACACCGGCAGCTACATCGCTATCGTCTTCCTCACGTGACGCCGCTTCACCCGAGGCGTTGAACGTAAAAGCTGCGCACGGAGCAGCTTCCTCGCCACACCTTTGTACAACACCCACCTGGTCCAACAACAACACCGTCAAACGAGAACGACACAGAGGAGCGCGGCAAACATGTTCTCACCTTGGTCGTGCAAAACATGGCGGCTGGCAGCTCTGACCACAACAACCACAGTCCAGGTTTGGCGGGATCCGTGGGCCCGGCGCTCCCAGTGTGAGCTTTGATTATTTGTTTTTTTTTTGGCTGGCCTCCTTCTTCACAAACTCTAACATTTGTCCAAATCTCAGACGCCCATATGGCCCAACTGTCCGTCCACCTATACTCTCCTGTGTGATCATGACACCGTATGCCCTCATCTGACTCGTAATTAGTCACGTGGGTTGGCATGTAATCGAAGTTGGCCCGGGTCCATCGGCGCTGCGGGAGCGGCCCTGCTTTCAGTGGAAAGAGAGCGCCAGCTTCCTTTGAAGTGGAATCTTTTACAGGAAAACTGTGGCTGTGGTGATAGGGGTGATTGTGACCACAGAACAGCCTGACCAAACTAAAGAGCGTGCTGTGAGTGCTGCTCGCTTTTTGCAGAATGGAGGACGCGAAAAGACGCGATGCACAAACAAAAACATGCGACTTTTTGGCAGTTCAGAGTTTTAGCAGCAAATCTGGGCGATGTCTCACTGAGCTGAAGTGTCTAGTATTCAATCCTGACAATCATTGCTAAAGAGTGAGACAGCCAACAGGGCATCATACAGTAATTCTGTGGGGAACAGGCAGTGGTTCAAGACTGCATGGAGGTTCTAGAAAAAGCATAAAAGCTTCTAAATACTGAACTCTGAAGGTGAGCTTTTCCATTTTTATTTAAACAGATGTTTTAGCCATTTCTTGCCAAATGTGCAACAAATGAGCGCGCTATCAGCTATTCTCAGTAAATATATCTTCAGAGAAATGAATTCCAAGCGCTCAGATACCAAGGTTACATTCTCATGCTGTGTTGTTATTATCCTAAAGCAATTTCAAACAGTTTTAACCTGAGAACAGCTGCAGTTTGTCATTTCTGAGAAACCTTCAAACCTAATCTTTGCCAAAATGACTGTGATCACCTCATGTTTCAGTAATAAAGAGAGGGAATTTTAGGTTAATTTCTTCCTGGTTTTGGAGTCCGTTTCCTGCTCTGTATCTTTCCAAACTATGCTATAAAAGAAGATGAGACTGGAATAATTACATTTATCAGCATTAATGAGGGTGAAAACCTTTGTTATTGTAACAGCAAATTATTTTTTGACAGCTAAGGAAAATCTACATGTAAGTGATCTTAAATCGACACGTGGTGCACTCAGTAAGAAAACTGTCAGAGTGGAGGATGCTTTTAGTAAACAGAAAGCAGTCTTAGCACTTCTGATTTAATCTGTTCATAGCTTATGAGTTGCTATTAATTTAGAAACCTTACATAAAGGTGATTTGTATGAAATCAAACTTAATTTTGGTTAATGATTGTCCAGTTTTATCAACCAATCACCAGTGACGGGGTATCAGATGCTCAAATTTGAGATACTTGTTGGTTAAAAGATGAATGCATTGACCCTGTGAGACTGTGATGGTGATGGTAGGTAACTCTGATGTTAGGTTTGGTGAAAAAACAGATGTAAGCCAACTCCTAAGAAATGGATGTTTTTATTGGACGAGAAAGTGGAAAGTGGAGAGGAGACTTGCTTTGATTAAAATGTGATCACACCATAAAGGTAATCATCATCATCATCATCTGCGGTTACTTCAGACTCAACATCATTGTGCGCCTCTTTCGGCTTACCTGCTTGTGCATCGCAGGCTTCCTCAGAGAAACATTAGCGACCTCTGCAGGCTGACCTTTCTTTGTGCTGCTGTGGCATCCATTGGCTGAAGAAAAGCAGATAATTACTCACGGTAGAGTTTAAAGTATTTTTCAAAACTGAGTTGACAAAAGCGAGCAGATGGTAAGTGAACGAGTTACATCCTGATATGCAGAATTTCAGAACAAGAAAGAACTATCTCGTTAAAATGATGTTAACGCGCTAAATCTCCGTTAACGAGTTACTGCGTGTTTGCCCCCGGGCGTGAGGCTAGACAGCGTCAACGTGTTAACGAGCTAACGGCATTGACGCCGTCCAGCCCCACGCACGGGTGTGACAAGGTGTTAACATCACCTTATTGTGTCAGACAAATTAAGCTGCAGCTGTGTTTCAATCCTTTAACATCAGCAGGGATTTATATCCGGTCGTTAAGTCTGACGTCACTAGCTGTGTCTGGGCCTAAACTCCGCTGCAGGTCCATATATCAAACGATCACTATGGCATTACTGAGAGTTGAAAAACTGTCTAAAGTCTTTCATCTTTAATAAAATGATCAGCGT